CACACACACACACACACACATATATATATATATATATATATATATATATAAGTACATGTACATGCATAATATTTATATATATATGTATATGGATATGTGTATGTATATGTATATGTATATGTATATGGATATCTATTATGTATATGTATATCTATTATGTATTATGTATATGTATATGTATATGTATATGGATATCTATTATGTATATGTATATATATATATATATATGACGCATGAGGATCCTCACAGCTCGACTATGCATATGTATTTAGGAAGACAATCCTAGCACGCACTGGGCACTTGTCACGAGGCACTGTAACTGGCTCCTGTGCACCTGGATTTTGACGTTTTGCCTCCATGTCCATGATGTAAAAAAATGTAAATAGTCCATAACAGCTCACACTCTGCTGGATCACACTCCATCCGGCATCCGCAGTCTTACGGAGTCACAGACTACAGTGACGCACACTGTCAGTCTGTCACTATTTATATTTATGACCACTCGCCAGTCGCCACGCGGCACTCGCCCAGGGCCCCAGGCCCTAAACAGCCTCGAGAGTCCAGGGCTCCAGGCCCCACTCATCCAGAGAGAGAGAGAGAGAGAGAGAGAGGTCTGAGCGACTGAGCCTGAGCGCCTGAGGCTGAGACTCGAGCAGTTGAGAGCATGAGACCGCTGAGACCGAGTGGGGGCTGTGGACTGTGGCCTGTGTCCCTGTGGCCTGTCGGGCATGCACATTGCAATGTAATTCAGCTGTCACTGTGCCTGTCATTGTGTCAGTCAAACTCAGAGTCAGTCGTCAACAATTCAGAATTCCGCTATTCCACCCAATGGGTCTAATTAGTAATTTTAACAATAAACAAATATGGGGTGACAGTTGCGGCCGTGTTGACCAATCACAAATCAGATTTCTTGTGTCCAGCTGTCACGACTGTGTCATTCCGAAAGTTCACACGAGAGTCAAATATAAGCCATCTGATTGACTACCTTGACAATATAGTATTTCATAGTCTCCTGTGGAAATAATAGTTATATAGAGGTCAGGCAGGGGGGTAATTGTTTTATTTAATATCGTTTTATTTATAAAACAGCACCTTCCCAAGGTTCAATACCACCAAGGCCAAGACCAATTCGACCATATATATATACCTAAGGAGACTGTCGCACGACATACATTTGCAGACCTCATACACACGTTCCCTTTTTATAGACCACATCACCGAAGTTTAATATATTTTCATAATGTCTACTACTGGTGGAAGTGGAACCTGGGTGGAGGGTGACTGCGGTCAGAGCACACAGCTTGTGCATGCAGGTATATACCTGTGCAAGTTAAACTCTATATGTAGAACGCATAAAATGTATGAGGTTCATTTGTATCTATGAAAATTTACAGTTCCAGAAATGGTCTCTCTAAGTTGTCGAGCCAATATACTAGTACATTACAAACTAATGTATGTATGTATGTATGTATGTATGTATGTATGTATGTATGTATGTATGTATGTGTATGATGTAGATAGATATATATATATATATATATATATATATATATATATATATATATATATATATATATATATATATATATATATATATATATAAACGTGTATATATACACACACATAAACACACACACACACACACACACACACACACATATGTATGTATATATATATATATATAAATATGTACATGTATATATATACACACACACACACACACAC